GTGCCTTTATGTTTTTATACAAAATACAAAAAGAAACTACAAAGTTTGACTACTTTTCTGCAGTTTTGTGACAGGGTACAAAGATCTGTCATTGATGTAACAGACACCTGCAAGACAGTTTGATGAAACTTCTTATTTCAATAAATATTGTATCATTATATATTTAGCTGTTAGCAAATCTGTGACAAATGTACTTTTGATGTTATGAAAGACGTCTGTACATTTACCTTGCCTCATTAAATACAGAATAAAAATAGCTGCACTTACTATATAAAAGATATTTTGATATATATTTATATATATTTTTGAGACATCTGCATCCTTACACCATTTTTAAATGGGCTCAGTTCATTATCCTCAACATTCCCCCTTTATTTTTCTGTGCATTACAATCCCTGATCTGTGTCAACATTTTGCATAAAAACTCAAACTTGAGAAACCCACATGGTAAACAGAACACTGCAATTTGAAAAACAAACTTCAGTACTTTTGTTCTATACTGGTAAAACAAAAGAAAAGAAGGTAACCTCTACAAGAATCCTCAACACAGTTGCTACTCAAAACATCAGCCGGTGTAACCAAAGCAAGCTCTGGTTCCAATCATGCTGACTGTGCAACAGTACACTGGTCTAACCATTCCCACATGTCCGGCAGGGAACCTGTGGCCTTCTGGCCTCACTAGGTCACAGGGATTTGACCTGAACCAAATTCTTCTGGGATGAAGCCCTCGAAAGAATCTGTCACAATAAACATTCCTTCCTTGGCAAGCTTGAAATAGTCTAGTAGGCTTACTAAAATATTATGCTACACACATAATAATATAGAGGCTTAAAGACACAGTACTGCTCTGTATTTATCCAGTCAACAGGAATGTTGTATCCCACACTGCTCTTCTATTCAGGGTCAGTGTAGCTCTGCAGTCATCTCTCTGGACACATGACCAGGGAGCAGCCTGGTGGACACTCCTGCTGTCTTGGAGCAATGACCACTACTGTCCAGGCCTCTGGCCCTGCTGTGTACAGGGGGTCTTTTCACACAGCCTGCAGGCTGCTACAAGCACCGGGCCTGCAGGACTCTCTGTCCCAGCCCTCTGCACTACTCCAGCCCGGTACAGCCTCCAGCAGCTCGCTGAGGAGCAGCACCTGCCTGACAAGGTGACCCAACAGCATGGCCGTCTGACTGAACGTAGAACGCAGGAACAGCTGCAAACCAGAGGTGTCCTGGGACTGATCTAC